GAACTGTGAGCAGGAGTTGTTTCTCTCCCTCAGCTCCGAATTAACACCAAAATTGTTATCCCTGTCAACCCTGCCTGGCGGCTTTTTTGGGATCTGTSAGGTGATCCCATACAGCTGTGAGCAGGAGGGGTCACTTCTCTCCCCCATTCCCGAATTAWKKGCAAAATCGCCACCCCCATCTGGCTGCCTTTTTGGGATCAGYAAGGTGAGCCCACATCCCCTTCAGAGGGTTAATTTTCTCCCCCATCCCTGAATTAACACCAAAATCCCCATYCCTGCCAYGGCTCATGGGACRGCTGGCTGATTTTTGGGATCTGYGAGGCAACCCACACCCCCTTGAGAGGGTTTATTTCTCTTTCCCATCCTTGAATTAACACCAAAATCCTTGTCCCTGGTGCAGCTCTTTCCCCTGAAACTCAGAACCCCGAAGCTTCAACATCGGGATTACTCCTTCCAATTTCAGCAGCTCCTCYGTGCCACCACCCCAAAATATTCCCYRTTTTAGGCAYCAATARTGCCAGATTTTCYATCTTACCTGCCCGAGCAGTTTTGGCACCTGTGGAGGCGGGAGAGGAGCTGTTACTGGTGTCCCCGGCCAGYGAGGTCCGGCTCGAGTGGAAGGTGGGTCGCTTCAGCTTGCTGCCCGCCGAGGGGGTCACCTGGGGGGAAGGACACATGGGGACAGCTGTCACCTCTGGCTGTCACCTCCCGCTGTCACCTGCACCGTGACGGGCCGAGGGCGTGGCCCAGATTGGATCCTCAGCGAAAAAATTTGGCGTTTTAAGGAATTTCCATCTTAATGGTCAGGGAGGATGGAAGGTGCCGTTTCAGCAGCAGCTCATGGAGGGAAAAACCCAAATCTTGGAAATTTGGAGGGTGATGGAGGTTTGTGAGCTGCAGGCTGATGGATGGGAATTTGGGGGAAAAAAGAAAATCTGAGCAAAGCTGTTGGGAGACAGCATCAGCTGGGCTTGGAACTTCCACAGAGGGAACGTGAAATATGGAAAAAAAAAGGGATTTTGGCATCCAAGCAGCTTAGGAGTGTTTTGGAAAGTCAAGTCCCAACTTGGGATCTTGAGAAGCACAACSCATTGTGGGGAGAGGTGGAGGGACACCCTTGGTGTGTCCACACCTCTCCCAGTGCCCCAAAAGGTGGCCAAATTGGAAAAGGGATGGACAGGGACACAAATCCCAGCGAGCCAGCTCCGGCTGCKCCCTGAAACGGCACCGTCCCCGACCTTTGAGATGTTGGAAGTGCAGCTGGTGTGGGGTGAAGCAGCACAACGGGCACCAGGAGGAGGTGCCAACCTGGATCCAGCTGGAAAAGGCAGCTCCAGTTTCCATCCGCCCTCCAAAGCTCCGGGTTTGGGGCAGTGATGTAGGAAAGTCCGTGGTGTCCCCCATCCCTGGSGGTTTTTGGGGTGCTGCAGGGGTGGCCCCAGCTCGGCTGCATCCCTGGAGAGATGCACGAGGGTACCAGAGGGCATTTCCCACAGAGCTTTAAAGCGACAGCTGGAGGGGTTTTCCTCCATCCCCTGCGATTCTGGGATTTTTGGGAAACTCAGGAACGTTGGGAAGCGATGAAACTGGAGCTGCAGGGGCAGAGGGGYGGCTGAGGGAATTAAAATCCATTAACACGCGATTTTCGAGGCAGCGCTGTCATCACCAGAGATATTTCCACTCTCATCCTTGATCCTATTTCATAACAGGCAGCAAGCATCGATTTAGGGTGATTGGGGAAGCGCTCCCGACCTCCTGATGAATCCAATTAATCCTTTTTGCACACGGAAGCACCACCGAGCAGGGCACAGTTACCTCACCGGGACCTACSCGGCGCTTCTCATCACCCATCCCAAGGGCAGGAAAAATCCACAGGGAGGCTGAAAACTTTAGGGAAACCAAAGTTTGAGCCCGAATTCATCCTCCTGGGAGCATCCAGGCGGCGGTTGGACACACCAGACGCGCTTCAAACACAAACCGGGGCGCTGTGCTTACGGCGCATGCGCTGCMGCTGATTTTCAAGTCTCAACTCGGCTGCTGGGTTTCAATTTTTTGGGAAGCCAAACGTAGCTGTTAAAGCTCGGAAAACCCGTGGTTTTTTTTTAAAAGCACAAGAGGATGAATGCTGCTTGCAAGGGGGTGACGGTGAATCAGAAAGCATCGTGCTGATATTTTGATCTCAATCCGAGTTGGAGACGCGTGAAAAACGCCGGCAGCCGGAGCGTTAGCGGTGCTACAAGCGCTGCTCTAGCCCGGGGGAAGCGTTAGGAGCAGGCAGGGCAGCRGGAGGACTCGGTGCCAGGGGCACTCGGGGCTGCCAGCGGTGCCCTGGGGCTGGCAGACCATACTCTACCTCGGCGCTCGGGAGCTGGAGGTCGGAATAATCGAATCCCCTCAGAGGGGTGACCGCTTTACTGTTTATCAACCAGGGTTTGTCATAACATCGGGAGAAGTGGTGTGGAGTCTGTGAAATGGAAAATCCAAAGGAAAGGGGTGGGGAGGGGGGAGAGGTGGAATGAGTAGAAAAAATAAAAGAAGAGAAATGGAGGAGCATCCAGAAACGGGGGGAACGGCACTAAAACGGAGCGAGAACCAAACGGGAATTATATAAATTAAAATAAACAGAAAAAACCCAAAAGGCGATGAAATAATGATGTGGAGGTGGGKAAGGAGATGAGGGGTGATGGCTTTTTCCTGACACCACTACCTTGGGCACAGGGAGCCTTCGGCCACATGGAGAGCGCTGGAACCCTTTTGTGGGGTCACCGGGATCCGAGTCCGGGCTGAAACCCATCCCACCCCATATCCCACAGGGATCACCTCCTAGAGACCCCATCACGCCCCTAAACCCCAACCTTCCTCCTCCCTACAGCTCATCTCTCCAGGCTTTGGACACCATCAGTTTTGGAAGGGAAGGGGAAGGGGAAGGGGAAGGGGAAGGGAAAGGGAAAGGGAAAGGGAAAGGGAAAGGGAAAGGGAAAGGGAAAGGGAAAGGGAAAGGGAAAGGGAAAGGGAAAGGGAAAGGGAAAGGGAAAGGGAAAGGGAAAGGGAAAGGGAAAGGGAAAGGGAAAGGGAAAGCCGCCCCGCTGACCCCCACCTTGGCTCCGCTGGCCGGAGTGGCCGGAGATGACGGCATGGAGGCGCAGCTGTGGTTGCTCTGGCTGGCGCTGGAGCTGGAGCGGGTCGGGGAGGCCGCCCGGGATGAGGGCTTGGAGCGGCGGCCCCGCGAGCGGAACGGGGTCATCCCTTGCGAGGCTCCCTCWGGCAGGATGAACTTCTCCCGCAGCTCCAGGTTGGTCCGTCCTCGAGCTGGGAAGGGAGAAAAGACGGGAAAAATCAGGTTTGGAGGGACTTAAAATCCTCAGTGGGGTTGGGAGCAGCTTCTCCCTCGGGTATTTCCCCATGAAGGCAGYGAGGCCGCCCTGTTTCTGCTCTGCCTTGAAACCTCTTCCTGTCACGGGTCAGCTCTTTGGGGAATTGCCCCGTTCAAAGCTGTCCCAGAGCTGGGAATTTGCGCTGGGTRCTTTGTCCTTCCCCTGTGGAAAAGCTTCAAAAGCATCATGGGGGCCCTCRGGCCCACCGGGTCACCACAGCGGCCAACGGCGGCTTTATGTGGTTTAAAAAGAGCAAAAGCAGCTTTGGAGGGTTGGGATTGTTGAGATTCTGAGGGAGATTCTGAGGGAAACTCTGGGAGAAATTCTGAGGGAAATTCTGGGAGAAATTATGAGGAAAATTTTGAGGGATTCTGAGGGATTCTGGGAGAGATTCTGAGGGAAATTCTGAGACATTCTGAGGGAGATTCTGGGAGAAATTCTGAGGGAAATTCTGAGGGAAATTCTGAGGGATTCTGAGGAGATTCTGAGGGAAATTCTGGGAGAAATTCTGGGAGAGACCCTGAGGGAGATTCTGAGGAAGATTCTGAGGGAGAGTCTGAGGGAAATTCTGAGGGAAATTCTGGGAGATTCTGAGGAAAATTCGGAGGAATATTCTGAGGGAGATTCTGACAAATTCTTGGAGAGATTCTGAGAGATTCTGGGCGAGATTTTAAGAAAAATTCTGCTCTCCCACAGCTCTGGCCATCTCTCCCCACATTTTTGGGGGGAGAGAGGAGAGAAAACCAACTTCCCCAACTTTTCCCACCAGCCGTCGAAAACCAACTTTTCCAAAATTTTCACCCCAAAACGCCTCAAAGAGCTGGAGGGTCTCCCTTCCACAAGCAAGGGGCAACCAAGCARGGGTTTGAAGGGCTGTGGGCTCCAGCTGCTCCCGAGTGTTTCATGCTCAGGGGTGCTCGAGCAGAGGGACGAGGACATGCACACCGAGCCTTACGGGACACCGGAGCCATTCCGGAGAGGAAAGCCAAGAAAGCAACTGCAGGAGGGAAGCGCCACACTGAGATAACCAAGGGACAGAAAGAACCTCGATGTGAAGGGCACAGGAGGAGGAGGAGGAGGAAAAGCCCCCAGGTAAATCATGCTGCTTTCAGCAAGAGCCGTCGGACAGCCGGAGCGCGGAATGCGGCAGCTTGAACAAGACACAGCCGAAGCAGTTAACACCCCAGAGAGCCCAGAGAGCCAGGGGAGCGTGGGGAATTCTCCAAAACTCGATTCAGTCCTTCCAGCCCCCGGCTAATCCTGCTCTGTGCCCTGGTTGTGGTTCCTGTCCAGCTCCTCGGTCAAAACTTGAGGATTTGGGGAGGAGGGGACCCCAACTCTTTCTCAGCCCAGCTGTCCCTTCCAAATGTCTGGCCAAACACAGCCCTAAAAACCCTAAAAATCGAGGTGGTTCCTCCCTTCTGTCTGTTCCTCACACTCCCTTCATCTGGGAATTTCTTGCTGTCAGATTTTCCTGCTTTAATATGGAACTGGGACACACTTGAGGCAACACTTTGCAACACATTGAAAGCTCAAAATCCCAACCCAAAACTTCAGTCCAGCTCTGGACAGACCCACAGACAATGATGTCTAAATGCAGCCTTTCCCACAGCTCAAATCTGGCCCATGGCAATCCAGGCTGAAGAAGAAGGGCCACACCTCCCTTCTCAAAGGCAAAAAAGGGGGAAAAAAGCTCATTTTGAGGAACTGGAAGAAACCCCAACATCCTCCTCTCCTCCTACAAAACCCAAATACTGCCAGGTTTGCTGCAGCATCACCAAATCCTGTGATTTGAACTTCTTGGTTTGCTTTGGATCTGTTTCCTCCAACTYYTGCCCATTTGGATAATTTGAACAAATTATCCAAATTATCCCGCTGGTCACTCAGGGTGCAGCAAAGCTCCCAAACCCCTCAGTGGGTGGGGGGACACCCATCTCAGCCAGCAAAAAGGGGGGAAAAAAAGCTCATTTTGAGGAACTGGAAGAAACCCCAACATCCTTTTTTCTCCTACAAAACCCAAACACTGCTGCAGCATCATCAAACCCTGTGATTTGAACTTCTTGGTTTGCTTTGGATCTGTTTCCTCCAACTTTCGCCCATTTGGATAATTTGAATAATAACCCCAGCTGGCCACTCAGGGTGCAGCAAAGCTCCCAAACCCCTCTCAGTGGGTGGGGGGACACCCACCTCAGCCACCAAAAAGAGGGGAAAAAAAGCTCATTTTGAGGCACTGGAAGAAACCCCAACATCCTTTTCTCCTCCTATAAAACCCAAACACTGCTGCAGCATCACAAATCCTGTGATTTGAACTTCTTGGTTTGCTTTGGATCTGTTTCCTCCAACTTTCGCCCATTTGGATAATTTGAACAATGACCCTCGCCCATCACTCAGGGTGCAGCAAAGCTCCCAAACTCCTCTCAATGGGTGGGGGGACACCCATCTCAGCCAGCCCAGGAGCTGCCTCACCTCTGCACGGGTCGTTCTTCACCAGGAACTCGTCCAGGGCCATCCAGCCGCCGCCCACGCGCACCATGACGGTGCTGCGCAGGATCCGCACCAGCCGCAGCTGCTGCGAGTCGCCGAACTGCGGGGCCAAGGGACAGGGTCAGAGACAGGGGGGAAACAGCCAGGGCCACAGGGCTCCTTCCCCCACTGGGCTGCACCCATTTCATCCACTTATTTTGTATTTTTGAGGCTTCTCCAGGCAGAATTCGTGCGAGGTAAAACCACTCACGCRGAGTTTTGTGTGGTTTGAAGATGACGCAACCAACCCAAATCCTTTAATTTTTCAGGTTTTTTTYTYTTTWGAGA